AGCTCAATGTTCAAGATCTGATTTCAAGCACGATGATTCTGCTATTTTGCACAGTGAACTATAAGAGCACATTTATTACAACAGAGAACCGGCGTTACAAATGAAAGCAGTTACCCGTAATCTAGCTCACAACCCATATGGTGCTCCAACTGTTTTCATGACAGGCGGTTGGATGAATCTAAAGAGAGTCTGTCGCATAGAAAAGAGCCAAGCAGCAGCGCTGAAATCTCCTCAAGGACAGCTGGGTTTAGCTGTAATCTGAACAAGACACGTTCAGCAGGTTTTAAAGGCCTTATCGCCACATCCATGTGTATAGCAGCTAAAAACCCAAAGACGGCTACAAGTTATCCTAGTGCCCACTATTCTGTTTTGGGAAGCCTACGAGCAGCCCGGTTTCACGCTGGTGTGAAAGCAAGGGTTTGTCTAGTCTTTCAGACATTCTGTCCGTGGCTCGTTGGGAGATCTGATGCGTTTGGTTTTGCTTGGCCCTGCTGGACTACAAATCAAGCGGCTATCACAACAATATAGCAACAGGAGGGACAACAGTCAATGACTTTGACTCCGATCACTCACATACGCATGGAAAATGTATTTGACTAACAAGGACACAATCTAGCATTGTCTTTAAATCACAGGATTTCTAAGGCTTCTCTATTATATTATCCTCATGCCTTTTCCAGTTTTTTTGTTATAACTAGAAAACGTTTTTCAAAAAATCCAAGATAAGAGTTCACACTCACAAGAGCCATTTCTAGCTGGATAAATTTACTGGATATACTACAAAAATCAGACATTTTCATGGCCTTTTCAGGATTTTATGAATTTCCTTGAACTTTCTGATGTTGTAAAAAAGACAAAGACAAATATCAGGTGTTTACACAATGTACACACAGTCTATTCCAGGGTTTTTTGAAGGAGTGCTAGGTGGTCTGTATAAATATTTAGTCAATGACTTTGACTCCGATCACTCACATACGCATGGAAAATGTATTTGACTAACAAGGACACAATCTAGCATTGTCTTTAATCACAGGATTTCTAAGGCTTCTCTATTATATTATCCTCATGCCTTTTCCAGTTTTTTGTTATAACTAGAAAACGTTTTTCAAAAAATCCAAGATAGAGTTCACACTCACAAGAGCCATTTCTAGCTGGATAAATTTACTGGATATACTACAAAAATCAGACATTTTCATGGCCTTTTCAGGATTTTATGAATTTCCTTGAACTTTCTGATGTTGTAAAAAAGACAAAGACAAATATCAGGTGTTTACACAATGTACACACAGTCTATTCCAGGGTTTTTTGAAGGAGTGCTAGGTGGTCTGTATAAATATTTAGAGAAAAATTAATAAATAATTAAAAATAATATTGAAAAAGCCTACAATTTGATTCAAATAAACAGATAAATAATAAACCGGATAAATTAACAGGAAATAAATTAACAGAAAATTCTCTTAAAATAGAAAACAAATAAGTAAACAAATGACTAAATAATTAAATTATACATCTAACAGTACAGTGCAAAAATGACTAAAAGAAAAACGAATAATTAACTAATAATAAAAAAATAAGTTAATTATTTAAAAATAAGTTAAACTAAATATGTAATAAGTAATGAAATACAAAAGTTATATGTTAGCATTAAAAAAATCATTTGTTTATACAATTAAAATAAAACAAGGTCAAATCACTTAAATAATTAATCTATTATTAAACAGCACGATCCTCTTCAGCTGCTGTTCCAGAAACAGATCTAAGTTATGCAGGATTCAAGTTTCACTTCCCAAAACGAAACTGAAGCTATTTTAGCAACCAAGAGCACTCTGTTTTATTTCAGAATACATGTTTAATATCTCACAACCTATAAGGCATGAATATGTATTTCTATAGACAGGATGTGGTTCTGACAGTTACAGGCTGTCAACAATTTCACTCAACTTACAGAAGCATCTCACCCTTTCTAGAGGAAAAATTAATACAAATACAGTCGCGAATGAAGGAAATCTACTAAAAACTGATGCATCTTTGTGTGTGACCAAAGTACATCAAACACTCAAAAACAAACCGCATTTATGATTCTCACTATTATAAAACCGACCGTCTTTCTGCGCTCTCCTGTTAGCCTCGTAGCTTAGCACTGTCAACATCTATTCCTGCTGTCAAGGCACAAAACAGCGTTAAATCCACTATACACGCATTTTATCCTCATTACATGAAGGCAAAAATTTACTTAGTATGTAAAGTGTGAAATACAAACATCATACCACAACAAAATAAAGCGGAAATCGATAACTTGATGCAAAAATACAGGATGAATGGCTGTGAGACGATCCCTCAGCTGGCTAACGCGACTGCTAGCATCTGCTAAAGTCGCTCCATCGAAAGCATCCGCACTTACCAGGTCAAACCAGACGATAAACGACAGCAAACCGAATAATTCCAGTAGTCCTTGGTTCAAAGGAGGCGATATGTTTAGTAATGATGACAGAGACTAGCTAGCTGCAGTCATTGCCAGTTTTAATGCGAGTAGTTGATTCTGTGGAACGGAGACAGTGTTAAGTTACACACCCACAGCTGAGACACACTGACCCCGCCTCCCCCTCTCTCTCTCTCTCTCTCTCTCTCTCTCTCTCTCTCTCGTCGCATTTACAAAAAGTTGTGGATTTTGCTCTCTATCTCTATCTCCTCTCAGCATTGCAGCATTCTTCTCAACACACTCTTAAACTAATTTATATTTCACATGGAGTCATTTTTATCATAGATCAGACAGAAGCAGAGACAGAAATGATATAGTTGAGGCTTTCAAACATTCAACATTCAAACAAGAGGCTTTCAAACGCATAACATTTACATTCAAACACATTATGATCAAATTGTTATGGTATCGATTTCATTGTTTTAATGTAAAGCAACACAGTTCTGTTTTTAGTACTAGTACTAGTTATAGTAGTGTCACTGTTTCATCACTGAACTGCAAGGTAATATACTGAATTAAATACAAAAAGATGCACACATTATGTTTGTTTTAAACGAATGAATAAACTAAACTCAAGTAATGCAATTCAAAACAGCTTAAAGCTGTTCTGTCGCAACAGAATCTTACTTTACATGGAACTTCAGCGCCACCCATAATGTAGTTACAACTAGTTATAACTAATATATTATATAACTAATTAAAACAACTAGATTTCATAATTCCAGAAGATTTAGTAACTGTGTTCATCACCATATACACTTTATGACCAATGAATTTAAATGACTCACAAATACCAATTTTTACCCAACAAAATATTTTCATATTGTTGATCACTTTCTCGAAAATCCATTTTCCATCCAAAAGCAATCATGTAGTTCAACAGTAGTTCAATAGATCTGAGAAATGGAAATGTGTGAGGGACTAACATAACTGTTATAATGGCAATAACAATTGATCAAACAAACAAACAAATAAATAAATAAATAAAAACTTTCCTATATCTATTGACTTCATATTAATTTGGGTGTTTTTACAGTTTTTAACAAGATTGGTTAACAATGTTCATCTACAGCAGGGGTCTCCAAACTCAGTCCTGGAGGGCCGGTGTCCTGCAGAGTTTAGCTCCAACTCGCCTCACTTTCTAGCCTGCGTAAGAGCTTGATTCGCTGGTTCATGGCTGGCTTACGCATGCTAGAAAGTGAGGCGAGTTGGAGCTAAACTCTGCAGGACACCGGCCCTCCAGGACCCAGTTTGGAAGGATGTCTATTTTCATGTTCCAGTTGCTCTATATCATAGAAAGCTCCTGCACTACTCAAAGTTTTATTAGATGAATACAGTGGATGTCTTTCAGTGTTTTAGTATCATTGAGATACGATTATAGTTTTTATTAATAGTTTGAATTAGTTTCTATTATTAGATTTCCTGTTTTGATTTCAAGTTTAGGTAAAAATAATAATACAAGTAATTTTGTTATATACAAAGTTTGTATGGTTTTGTAGTCTTTATTCGTACTTTAAAATAGTTTTTATACATTTGATTTCAGTTTTAGCTTTAGTTATTTAGTACATCAAGTTAAACTAAATACAAATGAGAAAAGTTTAAATAAAATCAGTTTAATAATGTAATGTATTTTATGTTATTTCAGTCATTGTATATTTAATTTCAAGTAACTTTTTTGTCGTTGTTGTTGGTTTTCGTTTTTTAGTTGCTATAATAACCCTGATGTCTATAGACCAATCTCAAAACGGTGTTATCACACAATTAACATTCAAATAAACAATATAAAGCAGACACACGCAGTGATTTATTTAAATGTTTATTGCTGTGCTTGAAGATTACACTCCTTGGACTTAAATTGTGTTTGGTGGGTCAGTTCAAACACATAAACATTTCTATTATTTATTATTTAAATAGTCAAACAACAATTCTGTGATGCAATACATAGGCTTCACTAATCAATTCTGAACAAGCTAGACTAACAAGCTAAGAACCTATGTGCTTACACATACAATCTGATGTACAAGAAGAGACGAGAAACATTCCATTTACCAAAAAGAAAAAACACAGTCATACCAAACAAATGAAAACAATAGCTTACAAAACCTGCACACCTCGAAGAGGAGGCACGTGTAGTTCATAATGTGCTGATAGGAGGGCCGATATTAAATAAAAAGCTTCATTTTAAACACATGACCCACTGCAGGCCCCAAAGTTCATGTGCTCGTCGTGTGGCGGTACATTTCCACCGAAGTATATGTGTAAATATAAAGTATGATATGATTTAAATGGTTGATATTATTGAATGCAGCTTTGTCTCTTTCACTTCAAAATCCAAAAGTAATAAGTGAACAAGTGAAAAAAAAAACTAGTTCGTTCGGCACTTTTGGGCAGATCAATGAGAAACAATTTTTTGAAAATGATTGTGAGGAAAAACACTTAGCCAGCTGAATGTTGGCATAGAACACAGTAAAGTCTTTGAAGATATTATTTACTTCAAAATCCAAAAGTAATAAGGGAACAAGTGAAAAAAAAAAAAATGAGTTCGTTCGGCACTTTTGGGCAGATCAATGAGAAACAATTTTTTGAAAATGATTGTGAGGAAAAACACTTAGCCAGCTGAATGTTGGCATAGTACACAATAAAGTCTTTGAAGATATTATTTACACATCCTCGATATTTCTGTTCTTTTGAACAGTGAGAACTCTAAGATCTACTTTGACACTTGTGGATAGTAGTTTCAAACCAGACAGTATCCAAATATAAGTGTCAGGACCCCTTTATATGCCACGACAGAATGAATCAGACCGAGAACTGATGCTTCAGAAAACATTACACGTTGCAAAAATGTAATGATCGCTTCTTACAGATGGTGCTGATTCACAGGGACTTTTCTCTGCCATAACTGCACATTTGGCTCATAATTACATTGTATAGGAAACATTTTTGTATGACTATAAATTATTCCACATTAATATAACTGATGTGCTTCATAAGCTTGTCTGGGTATATGCTAAGTCATGCTTTAAAAAATTGGTCCTCTGGTCATCCACAGTTCACTGGTGGTGCTGTGCATCCCGCAATGTTTTCAGCCTCGTGCATAATGATGAACGTTTAGGCCTCATACACCCTATAAAGGGACAAAAAACAATTATTTGTGAGGTTTAATACTGGGCTTTTTAAAGATTATATCTATCAGGAATTGATTGGATTGTTGTTTGTTCTTGTAGAGGAGGGAAAGTTAAAGTTTTTGATAAAAAATTGAGGGGACAGGAAATAAAGGCACAATATGTAATTTTTTGCCACTAGAGGGCGCGTATTCAAAACAAAAAAAAATAGACAAAGGCGTAGTTTGATGACGCTGTGACTGAGTGTGGAATCATGGGAGTTGTTGTCTTCATCCCCACAGCTGATGCAATCCGACGGGACTCGGGCAGAAATCATGTTCATGGATGAGCTAATGATTTATTAATAGGGCTGCACGATAAATCGCATGCGATATTTAATGCGCATCTTGTCAGAAAGCCGGTTCTGTAATCAGCGGTAAATCTCCATCACGTGCGTGCTTTCACATGGAGCAGCATTAACTACACAGAGCCGTTGTTCACTGACGAGCTGCGCAAAA